GGTCATACTTCAAACATTCACAACTGTTGTTCTACTTTCAAACAACCGACCAATATTTATGCTAATTTTCCCTCTTGAAAAGTGGTAATATCTTGTGTCTAGATAACATATGTTTGTCTTGCGAACTAACTAAATAGGCTTCTATATATACATCATTTATATTTCTCATTTTTGTAAGCCAAGTTTGGAAACATCATATGAATTCAACCAATCAGAATCAATAACTACTATATTGTTGAACTAAAAAGTTGATTTTCCTGTAAAGAAGGGAATAAGATACATTAGGTATGTAACAGCCTCTAGTTCTGACTGGATCCTTATCCTAGGAACTTAGATTTAAACCCATTCTCATTCTTTTTACCTTTAATCACATTCAATCTCATCAAACAAAGTCTTAACATCCATAAGGATTGATTAACCTACAACAAGTTGATATAAACAAACCTTTACAATTCAATGCACATGTACAAATATATAATTGTAAATTATCACGGTCATATACAAACTTGTCTATTTATATTCAATATTGTTTAACCTCATAAAACAGTCAATTAATATGTTTCGATCATTAGGGTAAATGATATCGAAAGGCCTGGAGTAATAAATCACAGCTCTATCACTTTCCTCTATTTCTTGTTCATTTTTCAGTCTATCAAAGTGTTCTTGTGACATTTCCAGCAATGTAAGCATCACCTGAAATAAAACAACAATGATCAATTTACATTTACCATAAAATTTTAAATGAGTTTATGGTTTTACACTAGTCATTTTTGGGGCCCTCTATAGCTTGCTGAGGCAAGGCTCTGTGTTGAAGACCGTACTTTGACCTATAATGGTTTACTTTTACAAATTGTGACTTGGATGGAGAGTTGTCTCATTGGCACTCATACCACATCTTCTTATATCTATTATAGTATTTTTAGAAGTCTCCATATGGGGTGGGTATTACAACACTAATGATTTTAAAAATGACTTCTAAGATTGTTTGCAAAAAGTGTTTTAAACGAATAGAATATTTTTCAACCTAGGGCTATAGCTATTATTTGAACATGTTAAGGTTAAAGAGGACATGACCCTTATACGTTTAAAAAAAAATTGGGCGGTAAATAAAGGCAAAAAAATTTCACAACTTTTCGAACTCTAATCATGCTAATAGAAAATAAATGGGGAATGTGTCCATGGGACACAGATGATGCCCCCGCTTGCATATCATATAAAGTTATAAAAGGACATAACTGAAGAATAGTAAAAGTGACGCTACCGAAATTTGTACTTGATCTGAGTTTTGTGATAATAAGTACTGTGTATAATTTTAAAAACATTTGGTTGAGGCAAATGTAAGTAAGAAACGGAAACGAAAAATTCAGCAATTTTTCCATTTTTAAAGGGGCATAACTCTAGAACAGTAAAAGTGACACCACCAAAATTAAAACTTGATCTGTATTTTGTGGTAATTAGCATTGTGTATAAGTTTCATAACATTTGGTTGAGGCTAAATTAAGAAACAGAATGGAAACTAAAAATTCAGCATTTTTTTCCCATTTGTTAAGGGGCATTTCTCTAGAACAGTTAAAGTGACGCCACCAAAATTGAAACTTGATCTGTATTTTGTGGTTGTAAGCTTAGTGTATAAGTTTCATAACATTTGGTTGAGGCAAACTGTAGTTAGAGAACGAAAACCAATCATGGGACGTACGGATGGATGTACGGACGTACAGACGGACAAGAGTAAAATAAAAACTTGGGTGGTAAATCAAGTGGAAAAAAAATTCACAGTTTTTCCAATTCTGAAAGAAAAGAAAAGATATGTGGTATCCATCTATGATACAAATGTCCCAATTGCTTTCTGTTTTATTTGCAAATATTAATTTTCTTGTAATACTATTATCATGTATTTTTTTTTTTAAATCATTTAGAAATATATCATGAGAGTTTCAATAAAATGCTTCGCTGGGCGCAGCTTGATACGACCGCAGAGGTCGAACCCTGAACAGTTGGGGCAAGTATGGACACTACATTCAAGCTTGATACAGCTCTGAATTTGGATTGTGATTAAATATTTGACACAGCATAGGTTTCTGACACAGAAAGAATGTGGTCTAAGAACTTGAATTTTTTTAATTTACCTATTATGGTCCAATGTCCAAAATCAAAATACATATTTAGATTCAGCATATCAAAGAACCCCATATATTCAATTTTTGTTGAAATCAAACAAAGTTTAATTTTGGACCCCAACTTGGACAAACTTGAAAACTGGGCCCATAATCAAAAATCTAAATACATGTTTAGATTCAGCATATCAAAGAACCCCAAGAATTCAATTTTTGTTAAAATCAAACTAAGTTTAATTTTGGACCCTTCGGACCTAAATGTAGACCTATTTAATAAACGGGACCCAAAATTATAAATCTAAATACACGGTTAGATTTGGAATATCAAAGAACCCCAATAGTTCAATTTTTGATGAAATCAAACAAAGTTTAATTTTGGACCCTTTTGACCTCAATATGAACCAATTTGATAGCGGGGCCCACAAATAAAAAATCTGAATACATGGTTAGATTCAGCATATCAAAGAACCCCATATATTCAATTTTTGTTGAAATCAAAAAAAGTTTAATTGTGGACCCCAACTTGAAAACTGGGCCCATAATCAAAAATCTAAACACATTTTTAGATTCAGCATATCAAAGAACCCCAAGAATTCAATTTTTGTTAAAATCAAACTAAGTTTAATTTTGGACCCATTGGACCTTAATGTAAACCAATTTAAAAAAACGGGACCCAAAATTAAAAATCTAAATACATGGTTAGATTTGGCATATCAAAGAACCCCAATAATTCAATTTTTGATGAAATCAAACAAAGTTTAATTTTGGATCCTTTTGACCTCAATATGAACCAATTTGATAGCAGGCCCACAAATAAAAAATCTAAATACATTGTTAGATTCAGCATATCAAAGAACCCCATATATTCAATTTTTGTTGAAATCAAACAAAGTTTAATTTTGGACCCCAATTTGGACCAACTTGAAAACTGGGCCAAATATCTAAAATCTAAATACATGTTTAGATTCAGCATATCAAAGAACCCCAAGAATTCAATTTTTGTTAAAATCAAACTAAGTTTAATTTTGGACCTTTTGGACCTTAATGTAGACAAATTTAAAAAACAGGACCCAAAATTAAAAATCTGAATACACAGTTAGATTTGGCATATCAAAGAACCCCAATAATTCAATTTTTGATGAAATCAAACGAAGTTTAATTTTGGACCCTTTTGACCTCAATATGAACCAATTTGATAGCAGGGTCCAAAAATAAAAAAATCTAAATACATGGTTAGATTCAGCATATCAAAGAACCCCACATATTCAATTTTTGTTGAAATCAAACAAAGTTTAATTTTGGACCCCAATTTGGACCAACTTGAAAACTGGGCCAAAACTCAAATATCTAAATACATGTTTAGATTCAGCATATCAAAGAACCCCATATATTCAATTTTTGTTAAAATCAAACAAAGTTTAATTTTGGACCCTTTGGACCTTAATGTAGACCAATTTGAAAACTGGACCCAAAAATAAAAATCTAAATACACGGTTAGATTTGGCATAACAAATAAATAAATGTGGTCAAAGATTTTACAAATCTAATGCGCCATACTGTGCAATTAAAGATTACTTCTTGAAATTTTTCAATATTTGAAATTTGAAAAAAAAATAATATTTGAAGAATAATTCTGTTTAATTTCTGAAATCTGATATGAGAAAAAATTGACCCCCCACAATTTCTTTTTACCCCCCCTTTTTTCCCCAAAAAAATTCTTTCCCTCAAGATATGGTCATAATCTCAATCAAATTTCCAATGGAGTTTGCAACCATAATTACCCATTTAAATTTACCATAGTGCTAACTTAATCTATTTTATAATAGAATTTAAAATATAGTGTCAAATCTTTCATATGGATTTTTTGGTAAAAAAAAAAGATGCAACATTTGCAGATATTTTTACTGGTCTTCCTTTATAAATATGCATTTCTTTAAACATAATTTAAAAGCAGTGTAAGGGAAGTAACCAAAGCATTGTATTTGGATTACCTCCCTTACACTGTTTTAAATTATCTTAATTGTTCATTAACCATTACTTTATACATAATTTAAAAGCAGTGTAAGGGAGATAATTTCAATGATGTATTTGATTTATCTTCCTTACACTGCTTTATATATGTTTTGTACTAAAGTATATGTCCATTAACCAGGACAACCTTGTTTTTTCCCCTTTTTTGCCCCTAATTCCAAAACGGTTTGAGCCATAACCCCCCAAAGCAAATCCTAACCATCCCTTTGTGGTATGGAAACTTGTAGTATAATTTCAGAGAGATCCATACACCGTTCCACAGTTATTGTCTGGAAACTAGAAAATGCTTATTTTTGGCCCCTAATTCCTTAACTGTTGGTACCATAACCCCCAAAATCTATCCCCACCTTCCTTTTGTGGTATTGAACCTTATGGTAAAATTTCAAAGAGATCCATTCACTTCAACTAAAGTTAGAGTGCGAAAACCAATGTGTCTTCGGACGACGAAGACGACGACGCCAACGTCATACCAATATACGACGGTCGTATAAAAATGAGCTACACATATTATCATGATTATTAACTGGTCTGAAATAAAAAATTAAGTAGACAGTTTATGTTTCAATCTTTATGAAGCCTTTAGCATGTTGAGGAATCATCATGATCATAGGGTTTTGTATTTACATAAAAGGTGAAGCCTGAAAAAGCATATACATGATATAGGTGTTCCTTTGGTACGCCTTAAATGGGTTTACAAATTTTTGGTACATCAAGTATTTGAAGACGATTTTTAGGTACATTTTGTACTTGATCTCCACCTTATCTTATACATATACATGAACATTGTATTATATGTTTCATTTAATCATGCTGTTTATTTAAAGTTACATTTCTTTTTATAGATGACTTATTTACCTCTGTTTTATTGACGATCATTCCTGGAATTGTAAATTTTGTCAATTTGTCACATTTCTTAGTTAATTCATAAAGGTTCAGCAATAGTTCCCCAGCATGTTGTCCAAGGAGTCTTGAATTAAAATATTCCTCAATTCTAGTTGATTTTTCACTTCGAAAATTTTCAAATATTTGGAAATTGGTAAATGAGTCTGAATCTACACTGGCACTTTCAATTTCATCAGTCATGGAATCCATATTAGATAATGTAGAGTCTTTCTTTACCTAAATAATAAAAAAAATTATTAATTTCAGACTAAAATTACTTGAGAGATCTAAATTTGTGTACTTTATCACGTTTATAAAAATCTAACCCTAAAATGTAGATCTTATTTTGCTGATATTTTTTTTTTACTTACCAATCTACAATGTACAATGATGTACCATGTCTGCTATATTTCTGCAATAATGGGTAAAAATCATAAGTCAATAACTACACAAAGAAGTCAAAGTACAATTTATATCGTGTTGATCTTTTTGTTATTTATAGTTTTTTGTCTACAGATCTATTTAAAGTTTTCAAGAAAATTGCATAAAACACAAAAAGGTAAGAATAATCATCAGTTAATAGCAATTATTCAATCATGTCAATCAAACATTTCAGTTATGTTGACTCATTTCTATATCTTCTCTTCCTGATAATTTTTGCTGAGTACAGTTTCTCTCTATTTATCATATCTAAAAAAAAATTGCAAGAAAATGACCAAAGTGCACTAAAAATAGTAAAAGAATTGTCATGTAAGGGATATATTCCTATGAGGGACCAATTAATGATTTCTGCAGTGTTTGACTTATTTTCAGATCTTGTACATGTCATCATGGTCATGTTAATACATTTTGCTGTTTAAGGATGTTTGCTCCTCTTGTTTTTAATTTTTTTTACAGATATTCAGAATTCTCTGGTTTTATCCATGTAGGGCCATTACAAATTTTGAACACTAACCCTTACTTTCTTTTCATAATATGATTACAAATAGTTAAAAATGTAATATTTGAAAATCTTATAAAATCCTTATTTTTTTTTCATTGTTTTCGAAAGAAAAAAGGTGCTAATGCTAAGTGTATGAAAAATCTAGAGAGAATAATTTCCCGTCATATTTTCAATGTCTTATATCATCGTGATCTTGAAAACATGCACACCGACCCTTCATTCTTTCTGCTTTTTTAGTTTCTTTATTTATATACAATCATTTTATAACAGTCTTTTTAAAAGCTTGTTATTTTGAAACAGAGTAGCGAACATCCTAAAAATATCCAAAATTATATCTAAAAGAAATCAAAGCTTTAAAGGCTGTTGAAACAGTTACTGCCTAGTTAATGTTTTTGTGACTTTTATTTTTGATCCACATGTAAAAGAATTAAACCTGACAGTAGTATTGTCTAGTGAGAAGTAAGGATGTTTTAACTTTATATCAATAATAGACTTATCCAGCAGAAAGTTATTTTTGACAACGTTTTACATTTACCTAGATTACGGTGGAGGCAAATATATGTGCGGAAACATACAACTCCCCTCTCAGAAACTAAAATAGTAATCACAGATTAATCATACTATTAGTTAAATATGTTTTGTTTGAATGTGTGTGCTATATTGTCAACTAATTTGCCTCAGAAATGATGTGGGCTTCCTGAAGAAGTGTCTTAACTATTTTGAAACATGGGTTCAGTAAGAGCAAATATTTATGTCTGCATGACTGTTAGTTATATTTTACAAATTCAACTATCACCAGAAATAGTTGACAAGACAGTATTCCTTAACATGTTAATGTGAAAAAAATTGTCTCACCCTGTGGTAACCCTTAGTGAATTGTTAAATACATCAATGACTTTTGTTATAATCATTACACATTTTGTAAATTATCAATTAAAATGTGTTTTATTTACCATAACAAAATACTAGTGCTTTACAGTGTTCTCCCCAGGATTTTTGGATAGCACCAGGGTAACGCGTGTGGACTTCTTGGTGAAATATTTCATGCAATCAGTTGTGTCGCGTCGCATCGCTTAGCTCTAGTTACTCTTGTTTTGTTTTAACACTGTGGTACTGTGTTATGTAGACCTTGATTCAGAAAATTATTGGTAAAAAAGAAGTAAATAAAAAAAACAGTTTGTATACTTTAATATTTTTTTAAAATAAATAAATTGTGATTCATAATAAAATATTCATCTGAATTTAAAGTAATTAAATCTTTTATAAAATCCAAAATCAATAAAAATAAAATATCATTCAAAAGAGAACAAAAATGTTCAATTTAAAAAACTTTCTAGTTTCTAGAAAAAAAGTTGTTGTATGTGAAAGGATTCCTGTCATAAGAAGATATAAAATTAACAAGAACAATTGCATATATTGTTTTATTATTTGAACCAGTTTCTATCTTAGATTTTAATAAAAAGAAATTTTTCATAAATTTTAGAACATTTTGCCATAGATTTCATGTAAATATTAACCTTTCTTGTCTTTGGTGATAATCAAACATAGATACAGACTTAATACTGCCCTAAAATCTAAATCTTTATTTGTCAGTCAGAGCTCTGACATAAACAAGTCAGAATAAAATGACTTCCATAGGTCAGATATAATTTGATGTAAGTGTTGTCTCCCTTCTTGCACTCAACAGAATATGACTTGTACAGGTCAGTTTATGTCAGACTTTAATTTATCATAAAATGACTTCCACAGGTCAGATTTTGCACAAAATATTGTGACTTAATATCTTCATATTCTAATAAGATTTATGCCCCTTTTTAATGCATTTTGACTTCGAGAGGTCATTTTTGTTCTGATTTGAAGCAGTCATTACTACCACTTTGTTATCAATCTCCATAAAAATATGGTGATTACTAGTTTCAAATTAAAGAGTTTTAAAAAGTGGGGCTCATCTGACATCATACCTTCTCCTTTCCAGAATCTAAACATAATATATTTATCTCATCACTTTCAATTATTTCAAAATACAAAGAAAAACCAGGTGAGAAAAAATGGATCATACAATTTTCTGAATATCAAAAGATTTACAAAATACAATATTGGATACATTACATGACAATACTTCAAATCTTCCAAGGAAAAACAAGAAACTTATTCATGATAAGACTATGTTAATAAAAGATATATTCTCATCCACTTTAAGCTAAATGTATTAAGAGCAAAACATTTATTATTTTAATATTTCATTGAGGTAAATACTGTTGTGCAAACTGACTCAAACAAGTCACATTATGTTCTGACTTACTAAACGTATTACAACTTTTAAGTCTAGTATTGTCATATTGATTTAAAAATGTATAGGTAAGCCAGATAAAAGACTGAGGAAATTAGGTCCCCATAAGTCACAATAATGAGGACTATAAAAAAGTTTATTTGGTATATTCAATATTAAATGTATTTTGTTTTAAACAGGTCAAATCATGTTCTGACTTAAAAGAGTCAGTCCAAAACTAAAATAAATTTATTGAAATATTTAAGTCTGAAAGCAAGGACTTTCTTGGATTAAAGGAAGTACACCTAGCTTTGATTGGAAATTTTGTTCTGTAAACTGACTTTAACATGTCAAATCATGTTCTGACCTCAAAGAGTCAGTCAAAACTAAACTTATTAATACAACTTTTAAGTCTAGTATTGTCGTATGGATTTAAAAATGTATGGGAAAGCCAGATAAAAGACAGAGGAAATAAGGTCCCCTAAAGTCACAATAATGAGGACTATAAAAAAGTTTATTTGGTATATTCAATATTAAATGTATTTTGTTTTAAACAGGTCAAATCATGTTCTGACTTAAAACAGTCAGTCCAAAACTAAGTTTATTGAAATTTTAAAGTTGGACACTTCCATATGATATTAATGAATGTATGAGAACGTCAGATAAAAGACATAGGAAATATATGTAAGATCCCCTAAAATAAATAACCATTTGACTTAATTGTTTCTAAAAATTTATCAAATAATAAACTCAAAAATGGCAGATTCAGAAGCAGGGCTTAAAGGAAGTACACCTAGCTTTAATTGGAAATTTTGTTCTGCAAACTGACTTGAACAGGTCAAATTATGTTCTGACAAATTGACTTAAACAGGTCAAATCATGTTCTGACTTAAAAATATCAGTCAAAAACTAAATTTATTGAAATTTTTAAGTCAGGCATTGCCATATGATATTAATGATATGTATGGAAAAGTAAGATAAAATACACACGAAATACATGCAAGATCCTCTAAGATAAATAACCATTTGACTTAATTGTTTCTTAAAACTTATCAATTAATAAACTCAACAGTGGCAGATTCAGAAGGGGACTAAGAGGAAGAACACATAGCTTTGATTGGAAATTGTGTTCTGTAAACTGACTCAAGCAGGTCAAATCATGTTCTGACTTATAAGAGTCTGTCAAACACTAAATGGATTGCAACTGTAACAGTCTGGCATTGTCATGATTGTGATGTGATTGTTAGAATGTATGGATACAAGTAGGAAAAAAGATCACAAATATTAAGTCACAATTTTTAGAACTATATAAAAGTTAATTTGGTATATATTTGATATCTTAATATTTCATTGAGGTAAATCATGTTGTGCAAACTGACTTGAACAAGTCACATTATGTTCTGACTTCAAAGAGTCAGTCAAAAACTATACTTTTACTAATTATTGCAACTTGTAAGTCTGGAATTGTCATATGCATTTAAGAATGTATGGGAAAATCAGATAAAAGACACCCAATAATAAAGTCACAATAATGAGCACTATAAAAAAGTTTATTTGGTATATTTAATATTCAAATGTATTTTGTTTACAAATTTCATCAAATTATCTTAAAATTTTATTCTATTTCTGCATTTTTATGACTTTTTTTTCTGTTAAGTTAACAAATGGAACTTTTGGTTATAAAAAATATGATTTTAAAACCATTTGACTGAATTATTTCTAAACAAACTTATCAATTAATTAACTCAACAGTAGCAGATTCCGATTTGGGGGGGGGGGGCCTTAGAGGAAAAGACCAGTTTTGATTGGAAATTTTGTTCTGTAAACTGACTTTAACAGGTCAAATCATGTTCTGACTTCAAAGAGTCAAACAAAACTTAACTTATTACAACTTTTAAGTCTAGTATTGTCATATTGATTTAAAAATATATAGGTGAGCCAGATAAAAGACAGAGGAAATAAGGTAGCCATAAGTCACAATAATGAGGACTATAAAAAAGTGCACTTGGTATATTCAATATTAAA